ATCGCACAAGTAGTGATGCTTTTAGGCTTAGGGGAGTTCTAGAAAGCAGCCTAATTCACCTAAGCATAAATTCTTCGTAAATCGCTTGTTTGTGGAATATTTGCTGCGGCTCAGCCGCAGTAATTTAAGCCGCGGCTGAACCGGCTAAGCCGGCTTGCTGCACTAATTGTAATAGTGAAAAAACATGGTGTGAGAATGTGTAATAATGATAATTATAATGATCATTGTAATTCAATATTAACGATAATAGCATTAGATATCCTTAATAACATTGATGATATTACTTTACTTTCATTATGGTTGCCCTACGATATTTACAATACAGCCAGACCTATCTAAATGCATGGCCGATGGTCTATAAAAAAAATCAAAAATTCTTGCATTTAGTAAGGTAAAAATCTACATGTATTATATGAGTTTGGTGCCAAACATGACCATGCATTTAGAGTAGGGTTGGGCACGGGAAAAAGTTTGGGCATGCCCCTGGGGCATGACTCGGGCTGAAACATGCCCTCTCTTATCATGCCCACCCCTATATATAAATTATATGATATGCAGCATAGCAGGCTTTAATTCGAATTGGTCGATTACTAAATTATTATCACATATTGCATCATATATATTATCTGACTTTAAATAAATAAATTCTGAAACTCTGAAATTACTTTTAATTATTTACAGTAAAAATAATCCAAAAAAATAGAGAAATAATTCAGAAGTAAACAGCACCTTTTGTCTTATGGATTAAGGCAATTCAGCAATTTTCTTTAACATTTTGTGTGAATATAGGTTATTCAACCAAGTTATTAAAAACCACAATATATTATATATGGAGTATGCATAAGATATATATGATTACATTCTATATTCTATATCTTTCATACACTACATGTGCATATATTACTTTATTGATAATTGACAATTCTTTAGTTCATTTATGCTATGTGATTGATAAATAAAGATTATTTATATATTTAAGAAATTGCTTCAAGTTTTTTTTAACCAGATATAGTTATCAGAATCAATACTTTAAAAATCGTTATTGTAAATTTAAATTTATAGTTTAAATACATCTTTTTGTTAATAATTTCCAAGATTTGTTTTAAATTCATTTATATTAGCCAGTATCACCAAACGGTCTACACAAATTAGCCAATAGATAACCAATCAATGCACTCCAATCCAAGTGATTCGGATTTATAATCACCTGGTAGGGGCATGCCTCTTGGCTCAAAGGCATACCCAGACTGTGCCCCAACCCTAATTTAGAGAGGTTTTTCATAGACCATGCGTTTAGGGAGATGAGGTCTGACTGTATAAAATATAATAATGTATTACATTAGAATTTGTTCTTTTATATATTACCCTTAGCAACCCTAGTTATAAATTCGAAACTTGTTTATTATGGCGCACCAATCTGGCAACACATGATATTATGAAGACATTATGTTATTCAAGATCTCCATAAATGATTACAGTATGTTCTATAATTTCTTGATGCTTTAATTTAGTAATTACAACGACAGCTATAGATTTTTGTGTTACGCACATTTCAGACCGACACAGAATACTGTAACGGTAAGCAAAATTTATGCTTACACGAATAAATAAGAACACTCAATTTGGTGACACAATTGTTGTTAGAAAGAGAATTAGATGGTTCCGCCATGTAACAATAATCTCATGATATTATTATGCTTTTCGTAAGTATGGAAGGTATTTCAAAGCACAAACTAATCGTACATAAAGTTAACTACAATGTTATTACTACTTCAGGACAATAATAATAGATAACATGGCATAAGTAAGCTTCTGTTTCCCATCATTAATCCTTTTTTAATCTTATTAATTTATAAAGTAATAAATTTAATAATAAAAAATGTGGAATCTAAAAACAAAATCAAGCAAAATTATCTTTTTAATAATTATTTTCATATTTAAGTGTTCCGAAGCCATTAGTTTTATACCAGAAGCTCGAGCAGGACATGTGTCAATAATAATTGGAGATCTATTATATTTTATGGGAGGCTCTCGTTTTATTCCACCCACAAATCCAATTAAGAGCTCAATAAGAATGTATAATTTATCAGATGAGGTTTTTTATCTAAATCTTTCATCTCAATTTTCCACTGGTAGCCCGCCATATGTTGACCTTACAAGTACTCCTGCACGAATGAAATATGCAAGTGAAAAAGGTTAGCTATTCGATTAGTTTGTGTAGCTAATTATAAGGCATTTAATATACATATTTATATTTTTTTTATATAAGGCACCGTGGTACTCGGAGGTGCTAGTAAAGAAAATGCGTATCTGATTGGAGGTGTACAACAGAATCTTACGATTCTTAATGAAATTGATCATAATGCAACTATAACTTCGAATCAAACATTGATGATAAATGAAATTAGTAAAACATACAATGCGACTGATCAATTCGTTTTTTTCTATCAGTCACATGCAAAATCATGGTCGTATCCTTTGAATCAAAAAGGAACGCCGCCGTCTAGACGAAGATCAACTTCAACTGTCATAAGTCAGAATGGAATAATATATATATTTGGAGGGAGAGTTCAAGTAGATACAGGATCACCTACATTTATTTCATTTAATGATTTGTATGCTTTTGATACAGTATTATTATCATGGAATAAAATTAATGCAGACAATGTTCCTTCACCTCGAAGTCACGCAGCACCAGTAATGCTTCCAAATGGTAAGATTCTTTATATTGGTGGTGTATCTCAGACTGACCCTGGAAAGGATTCAGACTTAATAGATATGAATGAGGTAGCATGATTTTTGTCAAGTTTAATATAAATTAGTTTCTTTTAATCGTGCATAAATATTAATTTATATAACCTATTATAGATACCAGTATTCGACACAATTTCTTCAACCTGGTCATATAAAGTATACATTTAATTTCAGTTTGAGGTTATATTTATTATCACGTTGATTTTAAGTAATATAATTTATATTTCCTAGTATACAAATCAATCAATCCGTATTCAACCTCGATTAGCTCACACTGCAACCTTAACACCAGACAATAATGAAATTATTATAATAGGGGGGAATTCAAGTACGAAACTTGTAATATATTTCTAATTTTCTTCTTTTAATAATAACTAATTAATTTGTTATTTTTAGATTATCATTATAACCTTACAATCGCTAAACCAGTTTTTGTATCATTAAATATTGCAAAAGAACCTTATGTATATTCTGAATTAATTACTTCCGGAGATAAACCACCTTCATTAGCAGTTCATACGGCTAATTTATATCAGAATTATCTTATTGTTGCATTTGGTGATTATTTATTTTATTTATTTATTTATTTATTTACCATTTATTTATTTATATTTTTTAAAATTAACTTTTATCTTAAACACAACAACAGGTAATATTACTAATGATTTAGTGCCACCAGTTGACCTCAACCCTCTAATTTATATATTAGATATTCCATGCAAAACATGGGTAACTACCTTTACACCTGGAAAATCAATCTGTAGTATTGAATCTAATAGTAGCAACGGATTAAATATTGGCGAAGTCGTTGGTATTACTATTGCTGGTTGTGTTGGCCTTGTTGTTATTATTGCTTTAATATTTATTTTAAGGAAACATAAAGTAAAGTTTGATAGTTTATGTGAAAAAACTGACCATCCATACAAAGAAGATAATACAATAATTGAAAAACCCTATTAAACAATTATCCTTTTTTTGAGATTTATAATTTTGACTGTTCAATCTTGCTATATATGAATTTGCGTAGGCTAGATCGCATAAACCTTTTTCTATACTGTTCATGAATTAGATCATGCCTTTTTTATAGATTTATGTTATATTCATAGATCTACAGCAAAAATTTTTTGCAATTCTAGTAAGAACCCATTTTTATAGGATATTTTAAATATTCGAATATGCAATTACAGCTGCTTTTGCAAGTCGGATTGTCATTCGTCGTTTAAATAAACAATCCCAGTCATAATATCAAATGATGATATAAAATGCACGTTTTAACATTTTATGAGATTTGCAACTATATTTGAGAGACTAAAAAATACTATAAAGAGAATATTATATACTACTCAAAATACTAATATATCCATTGATGAAATCATGAACCTACCTACTGTTGAAATTGTTACGTTCCTACCATTAAAAATATGAACTCACTAACGTTAAAATCATGAATTCACTCTATTGAATCTGCTCACTGTTGAAATAGATAACCTACCTACTATTGAAATGAGTGTTGCAAAGCGAAAACCGGAAAGTGAATATTTTTCATCATGGCAAGTTTAACATGATAAATTGGTGATGTTACGTAATTTATAATGTATATAATCAGTGTTCTAGTCGTTTTGACAGCGTGTATCACCTTAAATTAAAATGCAAATTAGACACATCAGTCAATGCGTAAGATTTTAGTTTTTCAGATCTAAATTTGCAATAATGAAAACAAATATTTACTTCCAGATTTTTGCCTTGCAGCACCGAAATTATAAATAACTCCTTCAGCATTTTTGCAGATGTGATGTGGCGCATTGTGGCATATTTAAATAAGCTTTTTTGGCTTTATGTTATACTTCTAGTTAGGGTTCATGGTCATAGTCTTAAAAGATCATTTCCATATGTAAAATTACGATCCCAGCATTTTTTTTTTAGTGTTCAAAGGCTGATTTAAACACTAGTTATAAAAAAAATTCAATAATTAAGTTTAATATAAAACTACACATAGTTCTGATTAGAATACCCTAACGTGATGTGCAGTAATTAATTTAGGGTGCTTTCAAGCATCTCTCTCAGTGTAAATAACTAGTTATAAAGATCGTGCACAAGTACTACTGTACGATTAATTGAAATAAACCTTGCGGTAATTTTGTAAAAGATCCATATTGCGAAATGCAGAGATTAAATTTTAGCCAATCAATGATAAGGCCAGACCAAGTTGATTATGTGTTTACATTACCTCCCTCTCCCCTCCAGAAGAGGGGGGGGGGGGGAGGAGGGTGGTTCACATAGTAAAATTTTAAAAAATTTTTTTCAAAAAAAAATTTTTCCAAATTGTTCCATGACTAGAGGTTGGAACCGGTTTTAATAATTTGGGTATATCATGTGAATTTTGTTATATTTTAGAATTTATTAAATTTTAATTAGATTAAATTCTAAAATATCACAAAATTCATGTGATAAACCCGAATTAT